AGGGAGTTAAGTGTTCGGTTGCTACCTGTAAAGTCAGCAGTTTGAACACACCAGCTGTCCCACAAAAGAAGCAGTTTGCTTTCTTAACAACTGATAGCCTGGGAAAGCCTGCGGGGCAGTTTGACTCTATCCCTTAGCATCACTGTCAGTCAGAATCCACTCAAAGGCAAGGGGTGTTTGGTTGACTACACAGGAGCCCTGGTGGTGTCATGGGTTACACTTTGGGGTGTGAACCTTAAAGTCAGCAGCTCAAAACCAGCAGCCACTCCAGGTGAGAAAGATGAGGGTTTCTGCTCCCATAGGACTTACAGCTTCAGAAACCTGTTATGCGGTCCCTGTGAGTCGTACCCAAATGGCTTCATTTATTATGACAATATATCCAACCATCACCTCTGGCAGCCAATGAGATTTCCTACCACAGACTTTAAACAAGTAGTTACATCTAGTGAGTGATTTGAATCCTTCAGTAAGTTTCTCTGATGACCCTGGCTTTTCCATCTAGTTCAGGACAAACACCACCCAGTTAGGAATGCCGCTTGATCATCCCGAAAAAAACTCAGCTGTTGTCTAATACCAAAATTCCCCGGAAGGACGGCACAGCCACAGAGAAGTAATTCAATAGTAGCTGCACGCCTTTTCCAACATATGTGTGGTCTTTGAGGACGTAGATAGAATTGTTCTGGTATAGCAAATTGCTACTCAATGGTACTTCATCGTAGGTGAAGAATCAATCACTTCAGACCAGGCCTTTTTTCCTTCTGAACACAAGTCTAAGCATAAGACAGGATACCGAATGCGGCGGTTTTAAAACATTCGTAGAAAAAGTCTTCAAATTCCAGTTTTCCATGAGCTTTTGGAAGTCTCTCCACGTGCAGGTGCCTTGCTTCTGTGTCACAGAGATTTTATTAGTAATTGTTTCACAAGGGAACACATGTAAAATCTATATCTGTCCATCTTCAACTGAATAGTCATTCAGTCAAAATGTCTGTCTGCTATATTCTAGGCTCTGTTCCACAAGACCAAGGTACCGCAATGAACAAAACATGACCTGCAGGCCCTCACAGTTTTCAACCTAGTGCATGGATGGAGTCAATCTGTAAAGACAACACGAACCCTACTAGATGATGATAGGTGTGATGGAGAGCAAGGGGGCAAAGAACAGGGCCGGGCTCTGTGCAGTGGGAAGGGAGTTGTGCTTGTCAGTGGAGGGAGCAGGGAGGTTATGGAAAGAGGGAATTGAGGCCTAAGATTTTCTAGGAGGAGGTACGCCACACAGAGGGAAGGGGAAATGGGCACACACCTGAGGTAGGAACACAGTTCTGAAACTTAGCCTGCAGTGTTGCAGTGTTTATTGCTGAAGTCAAACTGCTTCACTGTTTATTGCTGCAGCCCTGAGAGTATAGTGGTTATGTACAGAGCTGCTAACCTCGCAGTTCACAGCCACTAGCTGCTTCCATGGGAGGAAGAAGAGGCTTTCTACTTCTGTAAAGAGTTACAGCCTTGGAAACCCACAGGGAGAGATCTGTCCTCAGCTCTAGGGTCACTATGAATGGGAATCAACTCGATGGCAGTGAATTTGACTTCTGTTTTCTTTTTTATTTTAATCGTTTTATTAGGGACTCATACAACTCATCACAATCCATACATACATCAACTGTGTACAGCACATTTGTACATTCATTGCCCTCATCATTCTCAAAACATTTGCTCTCCACTTAAGCCCCTGGCATCAGGTCCTCATTTTTCCCCCTCC